AATTGCGTGAAACACACAGTAGTATGAAACTTCAACTGCGTGAAATACACAGCAGTATGAAAATTCCGCTGCGTGAAACACACAAACTTCACGCATGCGTGGAGTGTATGGAGTGTACGGGAGTGATTCACGCAATGGTGCGAATAGTCACGGCCTAATTTATACCTTAAGGGTGCCAAGTGAATTTGAAAAAAGATTCAAAAAAAATTTTTTCTTTCCCTCCATCATTGGAGAAATATGTATTCATCCATCCGACGAAATTTCAAACCCGCAACCGGAACTAGACATCGAGAAAATAAATGCGGAAAATCCTCTATTTCGCGTGACGATCCTCGAGAAAGCATGGGATCAAATGGGTACGGCGGGTTTAAATATCTCTCTTATTCACCCCGGTACCCCATTTTTTTTTGTCGCCATCACATTGAACACACTATTACCCATATCTTCAATTTTTTTCAAATTTTTCTTGAGTTCCTAGGGGGTAGAAACGTTCAATTTAATCAAAACTCCATAAGAGGCCGTGTATAAGACTGATTTTGTTTATTTAATTTCTCGATATCCATAAGTTCTAAAATTTTAAAATTGTCACCGATGTTCACCATCTGTCTAATACTATTAATTAAAAAAATTATAACTTTGTTGGTGAATGTCAATTTTCAAGGTCATCGCCAAATTCACTTGGCACCCTTAAAAACGTCCAAGGTCTGACCGTGTAGACAGCCCGGGGATAATATAGACTAACTTCCTTAGGTTTCATTGCAAACAACTCGCCTGAGCTAATTTGTCAGTTTTTTTTCCTATAGACGATCCATCAAACAGATTTCAATCAATGTTGTTCTTCTCAAAGCGGATCAAATCCAAATCCCCGGAAATCTCTGCGCAATCTTTGATTTGCAGTTGATCCGTCTCCCCTAAGCTGTCTCAGGCAAAGCATTCTCCCAATTTATTTCATCACTAAAATTACTTCATCAGTTTACATGAAAATACATCAGCCCCTTCATCACCTAGCTGTACTTCCTCGAGTCAGTCACGAGAAACGCAATTTATCCTCCTTCGTGAGAATAAAATAAGAAACTTAAATTCCTCCATCGCCCGGAGAAGCCTGATGAATTCTTACGTGTCACCGGGGATGAAAGAGGTCTGAAACACCCACCACCAGCTGTGAAACACGTCCGAGTTCCCTATTTCCAAAAAGAAGGAATAAGGAGAAGCAATGAAAAGCACAAGGGCGAGAGCGCGCCAGTCTCTTACCCGAGAGAAAACTCACAACTTTTATCAACAGAGAAGTAGTAAGTATCGGAGTTGAAGATTGCTTTGGTGTCGCTGCTAGATTTGACTCAAGAATGGTTTTCAGGGGATTTTAATTTCAAGGAGCACTCCAATATTTCGGTGATTTCGTCACTGAAGGAAAGCAAATAAATAATTGATGTTAGCATACAATTTTGAAAATTTTCGACTGAAGTGCCTAGTATACGCGTTTGAAATTTTTTGAACATCAGGGAGCATTCAACAATTACGTCACGCGACTAAGGGGAAGGGGAATGTTGTGTCATGTGTGACGTTGGGGGGAGGGGAGTCGCGCAGTTCGTGATGTCACGCTCATATTTTTATTTTCTGATTTGATTAAAGAGAAAATATCAAATATATTTTTCTTTTCTCATTGTCGTCTTTTTTCATGAAGAATACGCTCGCTCGGTTAGATCCCGGTTTACGGGCCTTCTGACGAAAAATTGCATTCATCACACGGTCCAAAAGTATTTTCTGACGAATGTGATTATAGGCTGAGCCGAAGGCGAGGCTTTTTGGTAAAAGCCACATTCGTCAGAAAATACTTTGTGGAGCTTGTGATGAAAATAACTATTCTGGCGACTATATTTTATGGCGAATACGGCCGGAATGACAAAATAGTTATTTTCATCACAAGGGCCACAAAGTATTTTCTGACGAATGTGGCTATAATCATATTCGTCAGAATAGTATATTATGTCATCAAGCGATAAAAGTATTATCTGGCGAATGTGGCAATCACATGTATAATCGCTTTCGCCAGATAATGTATGGCAAATGTATAATCACATTCGCCAGATAATACTTTTATCGCTTGATGACATAATATACTATTCTGACGAATGTGGCTATAATCATATTCGTCAGAATAGTATATTATGTCACCAGGCGATAAAAGTATTATCTGGCGAATGTGGCAATCACATGTATAATCGCTTTCGCCAGATAATGTATGGCGAATGTATAATCACATTCGCCAGATAATGCTTTTATCGCCGTGTGGCATACGATATTTTATGTCGTTGGGCCCGAAAACAGCGATCTAACCGAGCGAAGCGAGGTTAGAATCGCGGTTTTTCGGGCCTAACGACATAAAATACTTTTGGACCGTGTGATGAACGCAATTTTTCGTCAGAAGGCCCGTAAACCGTGATCTAACGGGGCGAAGCGAGCTTTCCCCCTTTTAGCCCACTTGAAATATCAGTGAAACAGTCTAAAAATTTCCAATGAATATCAGGAATCTCAATAAAAATTGTAACAGTATTCTCCCCATTTCCGTCCCTTTCTGCAGAAGCCATTGAAATAACGTCCATGACGCTGCGCCCGCAAAATTCATGAAACTCCATGAATTCACGAATTTCACGAATTCCTCTGTTCAAGATGTTCAGGTGCTGGGAATTTATAAAGTCCAAAGAATCTCCAAAGCATCTAGACCACGAATTCCAGCCGAATCTCCCGTCAGACCCGGCAGATATCACTTTAAAAATTCAAAAATTCTTAAACCAAAAAGATGAATAAACTCAGCGCATTCAATCAACGAATGCCATGAATACCCGGTCGTTTCCCAAAATCCAATGACATCTGCCCCGCTGCGAGTCTAATAGACATTAGGCCGAGATTGTACTCCCTGAAATAGCATTCCTTCTTCCCATCCCCTTTAACTCGACAACAGTATTCACTCGATGTGAAATTGTGGAGGAAAGACTCGGGGGTTCATTAGCGTCCAGACCTTAATGTACCTCGAAAAAGGATTTTTTAATGAACGAGTGAAATTGCACGGAGTGCATTGAAAGAAACATTAGGCATTATAATTTCATTTCGTGTGATTAAAATCGACTGCGAGATATTTTGTGATTCAATCTCATCCAATATTTGCTCGACGGTTCAACGTTTGATTGAGTTATCAAGTTGATGATACAGCGGTAATACAGATTAATACGAGAACTTTCGAGTTAATATTGACTCGCAGTAATTATTGTTGGGATTCATTTCATCCGCATCACTCCTTCGTCATAATGCGTGTAAATAGAGACAATTTGGATTGCAAGGGAGATCAATGGAAACATTAACTACTAATCACGTGGGAAAAATAATTGCGGAGGAAAAGGATTTGGAAGAAGTACTATGGAAATCACGTGCACTGGGAGAAAAATTATATGTTCCTCTGACGAGATCTTTTGCCGTGTTGAATCAATTTACTTCACGGAGAGAAAAATTCAATAAATATTACCAGAAAAAAACGTAAAAATTACGTTTCGAAACGAAATCCGCGAGCGAAGTAAAATTCAATAAAAAGGGTGAGTCTAAACTAAAATTGTACGAATCTCTACGTAAATTCTACGATTTGTTCCGTAAAAATTGACTCGTCTGATGACTTGCCGCTGTGGAGACAACAAGTCGTTCCGTAATTTTCCCTAACGATTGAGAAATTTTACGGAATAGAACGTGGAAATAACTCACTAGCTTCATAAAAATTATTGAACGTTCAAAAATTTTTGATTTTGGAGGCATAATTAGTCGGGAAGTTTTTGTAAGATTTGTCTTCTTTGGGAAAACTTACGTGACAATCTCGTACTTTGTTCGGTGATGAACCCGAAAATTCACTGAACGTTTCAGATTTTTTCTCCATTCCTATAAAAATTTCCGAGAAACGACTCCCCATTGCGGATTACGTGAATTGTTTCGTAATTTTTACTGAATATGTCTCTCCGTGTTGTGGACAAAAAAGAAAGTTTCTACCAAAACATGATAATTTTTCCTGAAGTTTTTTCGCCGCGTAAAAATCCCTGTTGTTGTATTTGAAGAATCAATATTTGAGAATGAAATTTACCCTTTACACCGAATCCATTTCGTGTAAAGTGAATGACTACTTTGTGACTGAAGGTTCAAATGAGGGCTAAAACGGGGAAAGATCAAACAAGGAAAGGTTAAACAACGGAAGGGTCGAACCGACAAGGCAAAACGTATGAGTGTATTTAATTTTATGTTGTTTCTTCGCATATAAATATTTGTTATGAACATTTTTTCATATAAACGTCGCCTGTCAATCCTCGATTATCGAATCAATAATGATTGGACATTCATTACACGGAGAGAAATATTCAATAAAAATTACCAGAAAAAAGACATAAAAATTACGTTTGAAAACGTAATCTGGGAGCGAAGTAAAATTCAATAAAAAGTGTCAATCGTCACGTAAATTCTACGATCTGTTCCGTAACAATTACTCATCCGTCCGACGCCTCACGGCTGGCCATGAGTCACCGTGAGGGGGAGATTTTAACAGCACGTTCCGTAATTTTTCCGGAACTTTTCGTAAAAATTCTTAAACATCCAAGAATTTTCATGTTCTGAGGCATAATAAGTCTTGAAGTTTCTGTTAGATTTTACAACTTCCAGAAAAATTACGTGAATTTTTCGTATTTTTTCGGTGACAGATCCGAAAATTTATTGAACGTTTCAGATTTATTCTCTTATATTCCTATAGAAATTCACTGAAAACGATTCTCGCTTGCGGATTACGTGAAATGTTCCGTAATTTTTATTGAATATTTCTCTCCGTGTATGAATAATTGATGCTAATTATTATTTTTTATCAATTTCTTCGGAATGAATTAGAAGAAGCATTGGTGGTTTTCTGGATTTATTCGGGCGACAAAAAATCAAAAATATTTTGTATCGATTAGAACCGATGAAATAAGAAGCCACTGAAAGTTTGAAATTTTTTTCTTACATTTATCAATAGTTATACACTGTGAAAGTCTTACCAGCGGTCCCACCGACCGACGGTTCGGTGTAAAGTTTATAATGTTCAAATATCTCAAACTCCTTTTTAATTCGATAAAAATACCCTGATCCCTTATTACCCAACTTTTATTAATTAATGTGCTGCGATGATGAGAGTGAGGGTATTTTCACTCCTGGGTGTAACTCTCAGATTGAAACCGCTCCTGGATCCACCCAGACTGTACGGCTCGTCGCAGGCAACCGCGTAGCTCCCAGGGTCGTTAATGACACTCAAGTAGTGGATAATCCCTGCAAATGAAGTGGAAAATAATTTAATGGAATGAATAAACAAAAAGCGACTGAAACTTCAAGAATATTCAATGGAGTTGGTGTTCTCAGATCCATACAAGACTGAACATTATCAATTTTACCGCAACTATTCTCAACAATTCCCAATCTACTCAAAATTTCAAGTTGGTGTATGCGAAATTTTCACGGCGAAATTGAGAATTCAATTTGCCATTCGATTTACGTTTTAAAAAATATTGGGCTAAAATTTCCGGTAATTTTTCTTGAAATTTTAATCACATTCGTTGAAAATTCAATATTCTATGGAGAAATGAATGGAAAATGTTGTTTTCAGTTCAATTATTCCATGAAAATTAATAGAAATCGTGAAAGTTCAGGTAAATATTTTCTAGAATTTTTTTTGACTGAGAATTCAAAGATGATTTGAGAGATGGGAATCAAGATTTGAGAGGTGGGAAATGGTCGTCTTCCTGCTGCTCAAAAATTCGGAATTTCAACAAATTCTCAATGAAATCTGAAATTTTATGGTTTTTCGTACAAAATCTTCTTAAATAGACTATTTATGCTATTTTTTCTCAATGAAAAATAAGAAAAAATATTTAAAAACTCAAATCGAATGTTGCTCTAATGAAAATTGCTAGTTAACATCCCCTGAAATTTGCTTTTTTTTTCTTACTGTGTGGTTCGAATTACTTTTACATTTACCTGTCACTCCAATCCCAAAAATTTCCGACACTTCAGCGGACAATATTGGCATTCACAAGATATAACAAATCTTTCCATATTATTGACACATATTATGATTAATTGTTTCATAAAAAAAATATCCAATTACTGTCCTTATCACCCGAAAGTGCTATGAAACATCATCGAAAACCCGGAGAAAATCGTTTTGAAAAATCGGAATGTAACCATAAAATTAAAAAAATGTAAAATAACGGAGATACTACCATTGTCGACGCTAACACTGATGGCAGTTCGATAAACCTCCGGAGTTGGATTGGAGACCTGAATAGTTCGGCTGAATACGGTTTCAGAATGCTGCCGCTCGCCAATTGTCAAATCGCCGATGAAACGCATTGCTCTGTCATCATCAAGTCGCTTTGCCTGTATTATTCAACAAAATATTGAAAAGTTTTGGGGATTGTGCATTGGACACGAGGGACATAGCCTTCCTACTTGAATCGAAAAAATTTTTTTTGCGTGACAGCAAAATCATTATTGTTAAATTTATGCCTAATTTCCTATGTTTAAATCATTTCCAGTGGAAACAAGTGGACAATTTCTTTTTTTTCATAAATGAGTATATATTTTTTATTTAATTCATATTTCTTGCCATTATACGGTTTTATAGACTCCCCATTCTTCTGCCTTGCTTCTCCCATTTCTCTCTTCTGTTTACCATGGGCCCTCTTACTCTTATCAACTGCACCCCAGTCGAGCTAGGACTGCAAGGAAAACCGTGGAAAACCCCAGTCGTACAGCCGGCCGATTGTAGGGTCCTACACGGAGAGAAATTTTTTAGAAAAATTCTAGTACTAGCACGGGAAAAGAAGCGCTAAGTGACGGCCAGGAAAAAATTCTAGTGTCGGCACTAGAAATTTTATTGGAGAAAACGTGAATTTTTCCCCGTATTTCTGTGAAAATTTCACCGAAATCCCCAGAAATTTTACCAGAAATTCCAAGAAATTTTACCTTAACAGCACTAGAATTTTTCACAGTCGGCGGATTGTAATTTTTTCCAGTACTCGTATTAAAATTTTTCTAGAAAATTTCTCTCCGTGTACTGTACCCATCCGCCTAGGGATGGGCGATGTTTGTCGATTAATCAAAAACATCGATTTTTCATGCCCAAACATCGACGTTTTTCATTCGATGGTTTGAACGGCCAACTAATCGATTTTTGACCAAGCTAACAAAATTTTTCATTTTTTTGTCGAAGAATAATGTTGATTGATTGAGAATAAACAAAATAATAATTTATCCGCAATCAGAAGTAATTATTTTCTACAGTATGTATGTTATCAATGATAAGTGAACATGTCCAGTCGTCTATAATTTTTTTGGATCCAAATTTTTCAATTTTTTTTTTAATTAAAATTTTTAACCATTATTGTAGGTAACGAAAAATATTCAATATATTTTCTTCAATTAATCAAAAACCCCGTTTCGAGATTCAAAATTTAACTCTTCAGCAGTACTTATCACTAAAATGTAAGTTTCTCCGGTTGTATCTTTTGAAAAACATTATTTTAACTCATTTGTTTTTTCTCCTATGTAATGAGAAAAACATCGATCTTTTAAGTAATCGATGCTTTTTCCCGAAAAATTGATTCACAACATCGATGGTTTTGAAAAACATCAATTCTTCGATAATCGATATTTTTTAAAACATCGCCCATCCCCACATCCGCCACATTGACTAGATGAGCACAGTAGTTCTCCACATGCGCGCCTGGCGGCAGCAGTTCCACGCGAATAGGTAGGGCTAAGCGACCACCCATCCAAGTACTATCCAGACTGAACGCTGCATGCGGCCGCATATCAACGATCGGGATCAGTTTTGCAGATTAAAATTTTACTGCAAAACTGATCCCTCTCATTGCTATGCAACAAAACATTCGGGAAATATCCGATAATTTTGAAGATCTTGGGGTATTGTAGCTCATAATTTTTTATTATCAGTGTAGAAATTGTAGCTTATTAAAGAGTGAATTCGAGTAGACGGATGGCCCCCGACCGATGATACCCCGCGCGATACGGGCGCCGTACTCGAGGGGTTAATCAAAGTTCGATCAGTATAGAGTCGGGATTTAATCAGTGTTTATGCAGAATTTAGCTAGAGTTTAACCCAGGTTGTGCTTGAAGTTAATCGAGAGCATGAATCAATATGAATAAGTATTCAACAGTTTGAGAGAGTGACGAATGGGGCCCAAAAAAAGGACTCGAAGCCGGTAAAAAAAAACATACAGACACTATCTAAAAATCGCATATTCGGACTTTTTAGAGCATATTCAGTTATCCTAACTTAGATTGGATCCCGTTGGCTTGGCGCAGTGGGTAAGCTCGTTGCCTCACATGCGAAAGGTTCCGAGTTCAAAACCCGGCCGGGTAGAATGGTGAGATCTAACCATTTTAAAGTCTTGATAATTATCGCCGCACACCCCAACCGGGTCGAAGCGATGTAAAATAACGATTGAAAAAAAACTTAAATTGGAGGGATTTTAAAGCTTCCATGCGGAAGCAAAAATGACAAAAAACGAAAAAAAATCACCAGATCCTTTGCGCTGATAGTGTCATCTGTACCGAACCGAAAATCAGCATCGCTCAAGACTCTGACGTCGATTCCAGCAACAAACACAAGACTGTTGACGAGGACAATGAACTGGACTAGACTGAACGCCATGACGACTGACTGATGACTAGCCGTCCAAACTGTCCACTGATTTTATATACTAAGAGAAGTTGTACACCTTATCATCACCAGCATATTTCCACAAAGTTTTATCAACCGGCATGTTGTACATACGTACTAGGAATACAAATATGTTGCATTGTTGAGTGGTTTATTCCTGTTCTTGATACTATAATTATAACGAAAACAGAAAGAACAAAATGAGAACAAGGTGGCGAGCTTCACGCTCTATTTCAATTCCACACTCTGCCCTGAATCACGTACAACTCACAAATGTGGGACAAACTGGGATATCGTGTGGAGGCTTTTGTTGAGGGGGATGAGGTGGTTCAAAGGGATAGTTGATTATTTTTCAAAGTTTTTTGTTGATTCGGATGTTTCGACGATTTTGGTAGATTGAAGTGGAACTTTCAAGTGAGAATTACTTATTTGGTTTATTTTTTGCAACTCCACTGCAAATTCTGGATATGCAACTCGTATCGTTTTAAGATAAGATATGTAGTGGGAAAAATTTTCGAACATGTGATAATCCAATTTTCTTCGTGAGTTAATCGCAATTTGTTGATTTAGGAGATAAATTGATTATGGAAATCAATGGATTAACAGACTTTGTGACACCATCTCTGATGATTACGAATTCCAAGAAGAAATTTCTTCTCTTCAGCCAGGGAAATGAAGCATTTAACTCAAATAATTCTTCATCATTTTTTCGAAAATCAACCTTATACATTTATTTTAATTCATTCATTTTAAGGATATCCACGCGGAGAGAAATATTCAAGAAAAATGATGGAACATTTCACGTAATCCGCAAGCGAGAATCGTTTTCAGTGAATTTCTATAGGAATATAAGAGAATAAATCTGAAACGTTCAGTAAATTTTCGGGTCTGTCACCGAAAAAATAACGAAAAAGTCACGTAATTTTTCTGGAAGTTGTAAAATCTAACAGAAACTTCAAGACTTATTGTGCCTCAGAACATGAAAATTCTTGGATGTTTAAGAATTTTTACGAAAAGTTCCGGAAAAATTACGGAACGTGTTGTTAAAATCTCCCCCTCACGGTGACTCATGGCTAGCTGTGAGGCGTCGGACGGATAAGTAATTTTTACGGAACAGATCGTAGAATTTACGTGACGATTGACACTTTTTATTGAATTTTACTTCGCTCCCAGATTACGTTTCGAAACGTAATTTTTACGTCTTTTTTCTGGTAATTTTTATTGAATATTTCTTTCCGTGCAAGTACTTTATTCAAGTTAGCACCGTTTTTATCCATAAAGATTTCAGTTTTGTCGACAATCTTGCCATTTCCATACTTTTTCGAATTTTTCATTGTTGAATACATTTTCTAGGGAATTTCTTCAATGAATATCATGAACAATATTTTATCCGATTTCACATTTGACTCTCTCGCCGGTCTAACCTCTAATGATCATACGGCAACACTGCACATGTGTTCCATATAATTTCATGAATTCGGTCCTAGTAGTCACTTTAGCGGACCGTTGCCAGACGTCATAAACATGCGGATTCAAACCACTTAAGGATATCTAGCCAAAACCCACATTATTCACAATAATTTTGATATTGTCCCACATGCTAGGTTCATATTTGAGCCACACGTTAGTAATAATCTCAATCCTTCCATCGGGGCATCCTAGTGAGAAATTAATTTCTGAAAATCACTTCTTGTAACATTACGCTGAGGGAAGGATCGTGATCGTGTGAACTTTGATCGAGATGTTGCGTGGGTTAGACACACAAAATATTGAAAAAAAAACCACAAGCCATTTACTTTAGACTATGGAGAATCTATCGCCGGCGAGAACAAGTAGGGGACCGGGTCATATAGACATGATATCTTCGATTGATTTTCGAATTCCTCTAAAAAAAATTTGACCGCCATTACGAGTCGAGCAATGCGACAACACCGCACAACAGCTGATCGAGATCGGTAAAGTCGGTGACGATTCAGTGCTGGAAGCATATGGACACGTATAACACACGCACACATTCATCTCACTGTCACGACCCCACTACTAGCCGAAGCGTGCGATGTTGCCCGATCAAAATTCGCCTGTTACCCCTGCAGTCACAAGTCCTCCATTATTTATGAACATTCTCTTTAATCATTGTTTTTGAGACCGGAAAACTACGCCATAACACTTCTAATTTGATGAGGAAAATGATTTGTAACATGAATGATTTATTTAGTCAATTTTATTTTTCTTTTCAATCGAGTTGTCCGCTTGATAGCTTAAACATCCTCAAATGGATCCTTTTATTAAAATCAAAGAAGCAATTTGTGCATTCTCCTCGCAGTCCAAGCAATTAGTTTATTTCTACCTGATAAAGTCTTTATTACAATCAACACTCCGTTGGTCGCGCCGTAAGCGTCGCGCCGCCGTAGCATAAATCTACACGGAGGGAAATTTTTGATAAAAATTATCCTACCGTTCTATAAAAGTGTATCATGAGTCATCGTTTCCTCATTTCTATCCCGAAATTTAGTAAAAATTAATATATGATGATCGAATTTTATTCTACGTTAGAGAAATTTTATCCTGACGCATAATCAATTTTACCCTTCCAGTCCAATAATTTTTATGTAAATAACAACGAAAATTCTAGAACGGTTGGTAAATTTTACCCTATCGGTACAGTAATTTTTACTCTACCGGCACGGTAATTTTTATTTTTATCAGGATAAAATTTCTTTAACGTACAATAAAATTTGATCATCATATATTAATTTTTACTAAATTTCTGGATAGAAATGAGGAAACGATGACTCATGATACACTTTTATAGACCGGTAGGATAATTTTCATCAAAAATTTCTCTCCGTGTACAGAATTATAAATTTGAAACATCTAGGAAAAATCTGAAAAAAAAAATCTAGAGTGATCTAGATCGTATACTTGAAGAAGTCCTGTGAGATTTTTTATGTTCAGTATTATCCTTGATTATATATTCAAGCTCAACATTGCCATTTTTTTCTGGAAATTCGCCTTATACGCGGTACACGGCCCGGAGTTTCGGAATAAAAATTTGAAAATCTAACTACTTATGATATTTTTGGCGGATATTTTCATTGACAGGGTTTCCAGACACTTTAAATTGAGATGTCAAATTTTTTCGAAAATTTTCTGAGACCTTACTGCAGTGTAATTTAAGGATACATTTGTTTATATTCAAAAAATCATTATTCAATACAAATAAAACCAATAATTTATTCAATTTGAATAAACAATCTCTCTGGCTCTAGTTTTGTTCTCAGTTTTCCATTTCCGCATGAACTAAAATAGCCCAGAGGAACTCATAGAACAATTTAAAAATTGGTCATTCGTTCATCCTAACGATCGACTCCGTCAATTCAATCACTTCTGTTTTCTCTAAAAACAACGTCCGCCTGAATCTCATATTTTTCTCCGTATTTCCATCTCGATGATAACATGAAATTGTTACGTCACCGGATGCAAATGGTCGAAGGGGGGGGGGAGAATAGTTGAACATCTGAAGCTGAAATTCTGGCATCGGAGTTTTGTTTCAAGAAGCGCCCCGGGGCGGATCGTCCGAGGCAAAACGCTGGCATCCATTGAGAAGAAACGCCTGAGGGCAAACGGTTGCTGTTTTTTTTCCCCTCCTTTTCCGTGTTTCACCCTTACCCGCTTTGTTTTTTATTCACCATTGAAATCTCTCCTCCCCGGCAACTTTTCCCTGTGAATTCAAATACGAATACAGATGCAACCTTCAACGAGACTCTCTCGTCCGTGTGAATGAGTTTGTTTCCGTGCTTTCGATACTTTCCAGCCGTGAAACTTTGGATTAATGGGATTAAATTTCAGTTTAGCGAAATGCTTACCTTCATACCTCCACGAGCTAATTTTGTCACTGCTATATATTATCCATGATATTGAGTCTGGAGATAATGGAAATTGGTTTGTGAGAGAATTATGGAAATATTGAATTTGACGGTTTATTAATGGGTGCAACATTCTGGTGTAATGAATAATAGAGGTGACCCAGTTTGGATCCGAATAAATGCGCTAAGCTTACTTGAATTATCTTGAGAACTATTGATAAGTCGTCGAGACATGTCGCGTGAGAAATTCAAGAGTGTCTGTGAGGAAAAGTATGAACTCCACCCAAAGGAGAAAAGGACTGAGTCGAGTCGACGTAAATTTGATTCTAGTCGACTTTCGATCTACTTCAATTCGGATTCCAGATGTGATGTGAGCAGAAAAGTGGATTATTCCGAGAAGGAAAGTCTCAAGTCGACATCGACTTGATTCAAGCTGAACGATCGGATTGATTCAAGTCGACCTAACGGACTGATTCAAGTCGAACGAACGGACTCAAACATCGGCTTGACTCAAACCGAAGACTTGTCTTGAAGCAAGTCAGTAACGAAGCGGTAAAACGGTTTAAATCGATTTTGACTATTGCCTAGTTTTCAACTAATATCTCGAAATCTATGGAGGATAGCAAAATTTTTGTCATGCCCTTTTTTGTAGAGCGAATTGAGGGCTACAAAAAAGTTCGTGACAACAATTTCGTTATCGCCCTAAGATTCGGAGATATTCCTTGGAAACTCAACTAAGGGCTAAAACGATTTGAACTGTTTCATCAAGTCGAAGAATCGTCGTGGATCAAGTCGGACCTGCCAGTCTGAGTCAAGTCTACGAATCGATTTTGATTATGAGATTTGATTCATGGACCAAGTCAATTCCCGACATGTTTCAGACCGACTTGAGTCAAACCATTTTTTTGACTTGATTCAGAATGATTTTATCCGTTTCAATCCATTTAAATTAAATGAATCATTTATTGGATTCTGGTAGTTTGGTGGTAATTTTCAAGACACTGACATTGAAATCGATTTAAAAGAGAATAAATCATGAAATTTCAATCAACAACAATGACATGACCATTTAGTACTAAATTGTAAATTCAAGAATAATATTCACTCGCATTTGTGTGATTTCCA